TTTAAAAAGTTGAAATAATTTTATATACCAAGAAAGTTACAGTAAATTAATTATTAAAGAAAAAACTTTTAAAAATGTTTATTTGGCTGCAGAGAAAAACAAAAAGAGAAAGAGAGAAGAAGAGACTGAGTGAGAGTGTGCTCCCATCTATTGCCTCATTCCCCAAATGCCTTGCAATAAGCAGGGATCTCAATCTAGGTCTGCCACATGGGTGGTAGGAACCTAAACACTTGAGTCATCACTGCTGCTTCCCAGTTTCCGCATTAGCAGGATGCTGCAATAAGGAACCAGTGGCAGGTATTGAACCCAAGCACCCTGATATGAGATACGGATATCTTAACCACATCTTAATGATTAGGCTAAATGTCTGTTCCCAAGAAAAATAAATTTTTAAAATAAATCTGGAGTAGTCTAAGTGTACATTACTTACAGACTCTAGTAGCATGCAGTAATGTCCTAGGCCTTCATATTCACTCACTCACTGATTCACCCACAACAACCTTTTGTCCTACAAGTTCCATTCTCAGAAAGAGCCATATGTAAGTTTACCACTTTTTAGCTTTCATACTGTATTTTTACTCTATCTTTTCTATATTTATATAACCAAATATCTAACATTGTGTAACATGCAGTACACATTTGGAGGAACAATAGGCTATACCATGTGGCCTACCTGTATAGTAGGCTAGGTCATCTAGGTTTGTGTAAGTACACTCTGTGATGTTTACACAATGAGAAAAACACCTAATAATGCAATTCTGAATATATTCCCACTGTTAAGCAATGCATAACTGTATTCAATTTCTCTCTTTGAATTACTGAATTTCTAAAAAAATTTTTTTATTTATTTGAAAGAGAGAGGGACTGACAGAGATCTTCCATTTGCTAGTTTACTGCCCAAATGCCCGCAACAGCTGGGGCTGGGCCAGCAGAGAGCTGGAAGCTGGGAACTCCATCTGGATCTCCCAAGTGGTGGCAGGGACCCAAGTTCTTGAGCCATTGCCAGCTGCCTCCTAAGATGGCATTAGCAGGAAGCAGGTATTAGAAGTGGAGCTGGAACTTGAACCCATCCAATTTGGGTTAGTCAAACATTTATTACATTTAACTATGTGACTGGAATTATTCCAAACACTAAAGACACAGAGATGAAAAAGGCAAGAGGCTATTCTACTTGGGGAAGACAAGTAGATAAAACAACTTCAAAGAATGGTAAGTATCATGAAAAAAACAAACAAACAAACAAACTAAATAACAATAGAACAAAGAGTTTTAAGTCTTTATAAATACAAACATAAATAAATCTTTCAAAGGGAGGTGACTATCAATGAATTTATATAACATTTAAATTTCTTAGAAGAAAACAATACAGTATTATTCACTAGGTTATATAAAACAACTTTACTTTTTAAACTGTAGCAGATAAATTTTCCATTGAAAGGCAAACCAAAAAACTAATTTTGAAGTCAGGGAAACCTATAGTCTCCAATATTACACTTAATGTGGAAGAACATTAATATAAAGGCCAAAAATAGAAAAAATTAGAGAATAAATGAAATACTCATATAATTAAAAATTAGTAAGAACAAATCAAGTACCACTGTTGCCAACTGTGAACTATATACTTCATTTTACTTTGGCTTCACTTCTTCCTCCTTCTTTTTCAGTTTTGGACCTTTCTATTTTAATGACTTATAATACCAATGGCACAGAAAAGCTTTACTTTTAATTGATCTTACATACTGGATTTACTGATAGAGAAATTTGCGTACATCAGTTTTGGTTTACAAGTATATTATTTCTTGCCTGACAAAACTTTTTCTAATTTTTTAATACTTTTTGATATGTTAAGGTTAAGAAGTAGCTATCCTTTTACTGCAGAATGGACTGAAACAATAGAATACTGTTCTTTGTTTCCTTCCCTCTATTATTTCTGATTTTATTAATGCTTTAATCAAATACAGTACGTTATAAGAGGAGCAATACTAAAATCTTAGGAGAGTTTTCAAATATTCTTACCTGTTTTAAGAAGTTCATACAGAACTAATTGATATGATGGCATGCTCTAAAGCAAGTTCCACTAAGGATTTCTTTGTAGAAAGCATCCTTTTCCTGTGCAATTGTAATCACCATGAATTTCTTAAACAATACAGTTACACTTTACTTGGGAATTCTGCAATTCATACTCTTTAAAAATGTATCTTTTAAATGTCTTTGGAATTTTTCTACTAATTTAGCCATCATCAACTCTCTGCTAAATTATAGCAACAGCTCCCTAACTCCAGTTTTCAATTCATTTCTCTTCCTAAGATCTCAATATTCTTTCCAAAGGCCAAACCAAATTTGTAATGGAGTAATACATATACTTCTTCATGCTTTAAATAATCTGATATGATGACAGGTTTAAAAGTACTGTAATTTCAAAGAAGTGTTATTTGAGGTATCTGTAATAATACTATAATGGGAAACTATCTGAGATTTATATAAATGCCAGTAACCCAGTTACAATACTACTAATGGAAGAAAATATAGATTACAAATCAATGAAAACAAAAATGTAATCTTTTTTTCTAGGTTCATGGACTCCCTAAATTCTATGCCTGGATTTGTGAGGGTCCATGAAGGTTAAGAACCCCTGCAGTGGCTCTCTGCTGTCCTCACGAGAAAAATTCCTGTCATGTGGCTTGAGGTGACTTAATGATCTGATTCCCAGCCACCACTCACACCGAAATTTGCATTTCAACTCTTGCAGCTGACATTCTGCTGAGTCAAATGACCTCTGCAAAGCTATTCCTTTTGCCTGCAATATTCTTTCCCTTCTCTGCCGAGCAAACTTCCAATCATCCTTTAGATGCTAGTTGATGTATCATTCCTTCAGCAAACCGGAAACTGCTAGGTACTATTCCAGTATGTTCCACAGCACCTGCTTTCTGCTTTTACGTTTACTAGACTATTAAAATGCCCTGCCCCATGAAACCATAAGCACATGAGCTATGTCTCTGATCCTCACTCCTTACATGTTGCCTGGTATATGGTAGTATTTCAGTAACTATGGAAGGAAATAAGGGGCATTCTAACTTATCTGCTGTTTCATGACCTGGAATTCTCCCTTTGTTCCCCATCACAAATCCAGGCTGTTGGCACAATAAGAACCAAAAAAAAGTATAGGATTCTGTTAACAGAAATTTATTATCCTTGCTGGTAAAACTACTTACTGTGATGACTGAAAAAGGAGGACACTATCACTATGATTTATAAGGAAGATTTTATCATTTTGCAATATTAAATAATTATAGCATTGCACAAAATATCGAGAGATGAAAAACTATTCATCACAAACCAAAATTCCAGAATATCTCAGAAATTCTCAGACATGCACAGAGACCTTCAAGGCAGTGCTGGTGGTGGAGAAATAGCAAAATGTGTCAGAATCACAGAAGAGGGAGATCCTCCTTGCACTCAGCCACCATTGCTGACTGGCAGCATCCACGTGGTCGTTAAAAGGACGAGAACCACTATGTTAAACTGTTCCCACAACAGACCAAGCAAATGTGTTGTCAGAAAATGTTATAAAAGAATCGATAATAAAATGGTTTCTATTTTACTCTGGCTAGACTGAAAGTTAAAACACTGTGTGTATGTGTGGGGAGAGTTGGGGAGAGAATCCAAGACACCACACTGGTGAGGTGCTTCCGTCACATCAGAAAATAAAAGCATCAGCAGGCTAGAAGTGAGCCAAGAAAAACAAGGAGATGGATGCAATGAAATCAGAAGCTACAACTGCTAAGGAGGGAGGATTTAAGCCATGTTCTGGGGACAAGCAGCGAATCATTTTGGTTGGAAGGTGTCTGAGTGTGACTATGAAACTCCCTGGATGAGAAAGCTTAAAAATGTGGATTTTATTCCATGCAGAATGAGGCACTCACTGATTCTGAGGAAGGGTATATTGTGTGGCTAGTGATACTCAGGGGAAGATTAATCTAAGAGCTCTAACAAGATGGATTAAGGAAAACTGAAACCAATGATGAACTATAAATTGAATTGACACACAAGATTAGCAAAAATGCTCTAAAACATTTTCATCTGTGATCAGAAACAGAGGGAGAATGGCAAGAGCTATTGTACGTATTATCTATAGAGTATTTTAACACAAATAACTATCACTCTCTAGTACTTGTTTTTAACTCACAAGATCTACTTTCCTCTTCTGTTGTATCTAAATGTTCCTAGAGTTCTCCATTGGAAAGGTATGATGTAAATCTACCAAAGAAACAATAAAACACCCCTTTCAATTTTCAAAAAAATTCATTTATAAAAGCTTGTTAAAATGCCTACAAGAGCTTCAAATTAGCATTCTTCCTCAAATTTCCAAATGTTTGACATGGCAATATCCCAAAGTAGGAAACTTAACCTTGAAAATATGGAGATTTCAGGAGGAATTTGTTTTTGCTTATTTATGGTCCACTCAAGCATAAAGGTTTACAATCACATAATAATGTTCGAGTTCCTAATAAAATCTGGAAATTACCAACCGATCAGTTTTTTTGATTGACATTTTCATGACTAAAAAAAAATAAGTCATCTATTTGGACTTGACCACGCTACACCGAGAAGTCGTGTAACTGTTGCTTCTACAGATAACTGCACACCACCTGAAGATCTATCCATTTCACTAACTGGGGCGGGATAGGCCAGAGGCAACGAAAATCCTGACTCCGACACGCCCACGCCCGTCAGCACCCTGGGCGGCGGGCTTTTCGCCAGTGGGTGGTTTTAGCTCCTGCGGCTCTACCCCGGCGAGGCTGGGTCTCCTGTCAAGGCCTCCAAGGGCCTCGGGAGCCCGTGCCACGGCAGGAGCAGCCCCACCAAGTCCCACTTGTCAGGGGTCTCCCGCCGCTGGGTGCCCCCAGCGGGCTTCGGAACACAGTCGAGTCGGGGCCGCGCAAGCTCCAGACCCCTCCCCGCAAAGGGGCGTCTGAGGCGGGAGGAGCAACGTCCCGTACCTGTGCTAACACGGTGAGGCTGCTCTCGCGTGCCGCGACACTCACGCGGCCATGATGCCAGGCCGCTCCTGCTCCTGCCAGGGCCACCCCGGCCACTGCCGCCGCCAGTGCGCCGGGGCTCGGCACGGCCTGTCGGCTGGCAGCGAGCCCGCGCCGCAGTCTCCCTCCCCAAGCCGCCAGCCGAGCGCTTCGCCCTGCAGCCGCCGCCATCTTTGCGGAAGCGTCGCCGCTCAGCGCCCCGCCCCCGCCCTCCTCCCACAGGCTGAAGACGCGGAAGTTCCCACGGTTCTCGCGAGATTCGGGCAGTCTTTCGCTCGGTCTTCAGGGCTTGCGCGGCGTCCCGGAGGCGGAGGCGGAGGCGGAGGCGGAGGCGGGGGCGGGGGCGGGGGCGGGGCGCGATTTTCGGTTGTTGGGCGCCTGGTGGGGCAGAGAGGAACAGCTAACTGGGAAATGTGGAAACAACTCAAAAAGCTCTCTACGATTTAAGACAATAATGTGCCCCCGATTGTCTGGGAAGTGTGTCATCCTTTGGCTGCTAAGGTGGAATCCGGGCACTGTGGCCGCTGAGAGGTGGTGTGATAAGCACTTCTCACGATGTTAATGTAATCAATTAATTTGCCTTTCCTATCATCATTAACAACAGTACAGCCCCATCCCAGAGGAGGTTGCATATGGAACAAAAATTTGTTGGGTATGAAACAGAAAAATTTGACAATACTGAATTTGCAGTCAACTACACAAGCCTGTCAAGAATTACTTAAGAGAATAATATTTATATCATGCTATTCAGAAAGCTACTTAAACTATACTGTTCACAGCCAAGTCTTTTTTTTTTTTTTGACAGGCGGAGTGGACAGTGAGAGAGAGAGACAGGTCTTCCTTTTTCCGTTGGTTCACCCACCCCTCAATGGCCGCTGCAGCCGGCGCACCGCGCTGATCGCTGATCCGAAGCCAGGAGCCAGGTGCTTCTCCTGGTCTCCCATGCGGGTGCAGGGTCCAAGCACTTGGGCCATCCTCCATTGCCCTCCCGGGCCACAGCAGAGAGCTGTACTGGAAGAGGAGCAACCGGAACCTGGTGTGCTGGCGCCGCAGGCAGAGGATTAGCCTATTGAGCCACGGCGCTGGCCTACAAGCCAAGTCTTAACATCACCTAATTCAACAAACTTCTAATAAAGTATTCATCTTTTAATAAGGTGTGTGTGTGTGTGTGTGTGTGTGTTCTACTTGTCTATCTTTAGCAGTTAAGCAAACTTTTCAAACTTTTTCAACCCTTTTAAAATATACATAGCACTACCGTTTTAAACAATTTTGACAATACAGGTCAATGGCCTTAAGTACTCCTCACAGGGTAGTGCAACTGTTATCATCTATCATCTCTAGAACTTCTTTTTTTTTTTTTTAACTTTTATTTAATGAATATAAATTTCCAAAGTACAGCTTATGGATTACAATGGCTTCCCCCCCATAACGTCCCTCCCACCCGCAATCCTCCCCTTTCCCACTCCCTCTCCCCTTCCAATTCACATCTAGATTCATATTCGATTCTCTTTATATAAAGAAGATCAGTTTAGCATACATTAAGTAAAGATTTCAACAGTTTGCTCCCACACAGAAACATAAAGTGAAAAATACTGTTTAAGTACCAGTTATAGCATTAAATCTCAATGTACAGCACACTAAGGACAAAGATCCTACATGAGGAGTAAGTGCACAGTGACTCCTGTTGTTGACTTAACAAATTGACACTCTTGTTTATGGCATCAGGAATCACCCTAGGCTCTTGTCATGAGCTACCAAGGCTATGGAAGCCCCCTGAGTTCACTGACTCTGATCATATTTAGACAAGGCCATGGTCAAAGTGGAAGTTCTCTCCTCCCTTCAGAGAAAGGTACCGCCTTCTTTGGTGACCTGTTCTTTCCACTGGGATCTCACGGAGATCTTTCATTTAGTTGTGTTTTGTTTTGTTTTTTCCCCAGAGTGTCTTGGCTTTCCATGTCTGAAATACTCTCATGGGCTTTTCAGCCGGATCCACATGCCTTAAGGGCTGATTCTGAGGCCAGAGTGCTGTTTAGGACATCTGCTATTCTATGGCTCTGCTGTGTATCTCACTTCGCATGTTGGATCATTCTCTCCCTTTTTTATTCTATCAGCTAGTATTTGCAGACACTATTCTTGTTTCTGTGATCCCTTTGGTTCTTAGTCCTATCATTATGATCAATTGTGAACAGAAATTGATCACTGGGACTAGTGAGATGGCATTGGTACATGCCACCTTGATGGGATTGAATTGGAATCCCCTGGTATGTAGAACTTCTTTTCAAGTTACAAAACTGGCAAACATTATGTTAAAAACAATCCCTTTCCCATCTCTCTTGTGCATTCCTTCCTATGCTGAGTCTTGGTTGTTCTTTCATTTCTGTTAACTCATATCCTATCCTAGCCTTCTGTTTGATTTTCTTTCCAACTCTCAGACAAAGCCACTCCCTTTATTTCAGGCAATCACTATTTGCAGAACGTTGAATTTGGGGCATTGGGGCTTAGTGGATAAAGCCTCTGCCTGCGACTCCTGCGTCCTATGTGGACCTAGGTTGGCGTCCCAGATGCTCCACTTCTGATCCAGCTCCCTGCTAATGCACCTGGGAAAGCAGTGGAAGATGGCTCATGTGCTTGGGCTCCTGCCAGCCTCGTGGGAGACTCAGAAGAAACTGACTGTTGGCTTCAGTGTGGGCCAACCCTGGCAATTGTGGCTGTGTGGGGAGTTAATCGGTAGACTGAGCATCTCTTGTCTCCACCTCTCTCTCTGTAACTCTGCCTTTTAAATAAATAACAAACAAACAATCTTTTTAAAAATGAAAATGAGTATTGAATTTAAATTTGGTTCCAACAAAGTGTTTTATTGCAGCTGTTATTTCGCCAGGGACTAAGAATTGGAGTCTGATTTAGCAGCACCCACCTCACGTCCCTATTTTCAGGTGCCAGATGTCTTCCTTTGCTGCAGGATTTGAACAATAGCTCAGTTCTGCTTGCTCCTTGGTGATAAGGAGCATCCCTGAAGCATATGACTTGTTTTGTGGTCTTTGACTCTCCATTCTTTGGTCTCCATTCTTTTCCCGAGTAAATTTATTTAAAAACCTTTTTTGTTCAGCTTCTGAAATGCTCCCAGCTCTTAGAAGCTTTGCACATGCAGAAATGCAAGACTAAAGTGATAGGTGCCAAGGGTCCCAATCATTTCATCACTGCCACCTTAAAGTTTGGAAAAATAAAAAAAAAAAACTAAAAATCAACTATCTGCTAAATCTAATTTGACCACTTCAGGAAGTTCTTTGAACCTTTTTGGTTGGATCCGCCCTTAGTTCTTGCTCCCTTTCTCGGAGCCGGCTTGTCTACATTGAACTGCAGTCGGAGATTCCTTACTGGTTCTGACATAGGCAGGCAGATAGAATAACATTCATTAGATCTGTGAGCTGGAAGACCACGCCTTCACCATGCCCTTGTGTGATCTCATGCCCCAACCTGACCTTACCTGTATGCCCACATGCCCATTGGGCTGCATAACCACTCCCCTTGGGAAGTGGATAAAAGGCCCGGAACAGGGTGGGCCTGCCCCCTTTTTCCTCCCTTCTTCGCCCTTATTGCCCTTTGGTTTTCTTGTTGCCCTAAGGGAAACTTCAGGGCCTGTGTTGGCCATGTTCTCTCTGCCTTCGCTTTGCTGCTCCTGCTAAGCTACTTGTAGCTGCTCATAACCAAATGCTTGGTGCCCGTGGCTCCTGGCCTGCTCTCTGCTTGGTATGGATCTAGACTTTCCTTGCTCCCTTAGACACAGCCTTCACTATATCCTACCACTGAATAAAATCCTTAAAACGTTCGTGGCAAGAACCCACACAGCGTATTAATTTCAGAAATATTGATAAGCAAAAGGGTTTCAGTTCCCCAGCTGCTGAAACCACTTTCAGTGTCTTTCCCAGGCAGGAAGTAAAAAGGAGAGCCTCAATGGCACAGACTCGTAAACCAGACCTCAAGGTTCGGATCCGGCTCTTCTAAGAGGTGATTTGGAGCTGTTTCCGAGTCTTCTTTTTTTTTTTTTCCACCTGTAAATGACTCTCATGATTTGGGATGGGGTGGGGTTCCAAGAGATGTTTTGTATGAAGTGACTAGCCCGATGCCTAGTGCATGGCAGGCTCGCAAAGATAGGAATGCACCTTCTTCAAGATTTTGGCTTCCTCTTGTCCTGTGATCAACAATGAGCTTGCCCGTTTGTCCGTGAGTTCAGATCACTAGCCCATCTTAACCTGAGACTTCCTGCTTTTCATTTCTAACCCGACCTTGTAAACCTTTGGTCAATTTTTTACCTCTACTGATAAGGGTGGCTCTCGGCATGTGTGTGTGTGTGTGTGTGTGTGTGTATGCTTTATTTATTTGAAATGCGGAGTTACATAGAAGCAGAGGCAGAGAGAAAGAGGTCTTCCACCCACTGGTTCACTTCCCAGATGGCCGCAACAGCCAGAGCTGCGCCGATCCAAAGCCAGGAGCCAAGAGCTTCTTCAGGGTCTCCCACATGGGTGCAGGGGCCCAAGGGCCACAGCAGAGAGCTAGATTGGAAGTGGAGCAGCCAGGGCTCGAACTGGCACCACACATGGGATGCCAGCACCACAGGTGGTGGCTTTTACTCTCTATGCCACAGCATGGACCCCTTACATATTTCACTTCTGGATTATTGGCATCTAGCTTGTTGCTGTTCCATGGTGATTAAAGATTTCCTAGCTATTGTTTGGACTCCCTAGATCTCTTACTTTGTAGCTGAATTTTGATTTCCAGGAACAGTCTTTACTTGTCTGCTTTAAACCATCTCATCCACACAGTTCCTCTACCCACTTAATGAAACCTAGCATCTGGTACTCAATTTACTCAGTCACTACCTCAGGCGCAACATAGGTACAGATTCCTAGCTGAGCATTTGGCATATTTAAAAACATAGTGTTTTTCCACAGTTGGACATCCTTGTGGGTAAGGATCTTATTTTTCTGTTTGCCTAGCACCTAACACAAAGCTCAGCACACATTAGAAATTCAATGAATGATTACATAAATACACGAATAAACAAATGACACTAATAGGCCTTGGGTACTTATTTCCACGCATTGGGCATCAAGCACAATGCAAAAATATATTGTTTATTGGGTTTCATTTATTTTTCAAAATAAAAGCCTTGTTTTCTTTTGCTTAAGATCTTTAGCTTACTTGGAAAAC